AACCCTAAAACCCTAAACCCAAATACCTAAAACCCTAAACCTTAAACCCTAAAACCCTAAACCCAAATACCTAAAACCCTAAACCTTAAACCCTAAAACCCTAAAACCCTAAAACCCAAATACCTAAAACCCTAAACCTTAAACCCTAAAACCCTAAAACCTCAATCTACACCCCTCCTTGAAGACTGAGAGTGCCATCCTGGGCTCGGGTGGTTTCTATTTTGCTCAGTCCCCCTGAGCCTGCACTGATGCGAATATAGTTTTAGGGATATCGTAATAGGATCCCCATGAACCTCATATTCTATTTATGTACGAGGGCTTGGGGTATGTTGTGTATATATCTGGATGGGAGAGGAGCCGGGGTTGTAGTATAGGGGTTTCACAGTAAAGGGCCAACCATCTCAAAGCGTAGCGGTTCCGGCAGATAGCATTTAATCCTACAAACCCACCTACCCGAAATTCTACGAACCCCCCTGAAACTGATCATCAAAAAGAATACAAATTCTTATGTTTTGACGTCATGAACGTCAGAATGTAACATTTTGTTTGTCAACTGAACAATTTTAATTGTCTATGAGATGACGGCCCCCCCCCCCCACAACATATAACCAAAATGACTTTATAAGGGAGCAAATGGTTTACCCCCCCATTTTGTATTACAGAATGGGGGGCTTGAGGTCACCTGTGAATCTGAAGGGGGATGTTTTAGAGAAGTTTTGCAGAGACTTCCTGGCTTCTGGAGAAAATCATAAAGTGTCATTGGGGCTCATAGAGGATCCACGCCAATAGATAGAATATTGCAAACCTGATAAGCCGTTATTGGAGGGCATTGTGCGCTACCAAACGGATAGATAGAATGTTTGTGCGAAATTTCATGGATCCCAGGAAGGTTTCAGTGACACATACACGGGGACACCGAGGTGTTTTGGAATTCAGGGTGTTGGGCTTAGGGTTGAGTTTAGGGCTTAGCAAGAGTGGGAACTTACGACACTACAACGCCTGTTCGCTCTCATAGCCACTGCCTACACAACACACTGACATCTCAGTCCTACAAACCAAATATGTACCCAGACACCTGCTTTTCGGCCCCCGTTGGCCTTCGAAGTGCCACTCAGCGGCAACCTCCGCCGACAGGTACCCGCGAGACATCCAGGCCCACAGGATGGTTTTTCCAGAGCCAAACTTGGCCACCTCGGTGAGCGCCCAGGCGTCCGCGCGGAGGCTTAGCGAAACTGGACAGCTCAGTGTCGGGTAGCCGGCTGCATTCATCTCACGGAGGTCTGCAGCGTAGAGCGGGTTCAAGGGGAGCTTCATTGCACAACGAAGGTAAGCCATTCTCAAGGTATGAAAATGGCCATGCCAACCATCGTTTGGGGAGCTGGACAAGCCCCAACCCCCGGGCACCTGCACGTCCGCGTCCGGGTCACACCCCACCAGCAACACATTCTGCTCTCTGGCCCAGTTGCGCCTCAAGTCCAGGTACGTTCGGCTGAGATGCGAAGGGCATCTGTCGCAGATGAGCATCGCCCTGGCTGAGCAATCGAAACAGCCGATTTCCGCTCGCCGTTTGCGAAGTTCCGTCGACATGTGCTCTAGAAATTTGACGGTCGTTTGACCGTGCCACATGTGGCTGTCCGAGCCGGAGGATTCGATCGCCAAAACGCCCTCATATTCTTGGTTGAGCTTGTTCATGGCCTCGGCAGAAAGCGTTCCGTCTGGCACCGTAACGTAGGCAAAGCCCACGGCCCCAGTCACCCACGAAACTGTTGTCGTGGTCCGCGGGCTCCTTTCATGACAACTTCTGCCAGGCAATCTCAAAGCCCAAATTCCGTACCTACCTAAACTGCCTAAGCAGCTAAAACAGATAAGGTACCTTAAGGCTGTAAACACCCAAAACAACCTGAGCACAGCACCCCACAGCACCCCCCACAGCACCTCCCACAGCACCCCCCACAGCACACCACAGCGCCCCACAGCACCGCGCAGCACACCCCACAGCACCCCACAGCACCCCACAACACCCCACAGCACCCAACAATACCCCACAGCCGCAACAGCACCCTGCAACAGCACCTAAATCCTACAAATCCTAAACCCTACAAAGCACCTACCCTAGATCCTACGAACCCCCTACCCTAAATCCTACAAACCCTCATGTATTACAAAATGGGGGTCATGAGGTCACCTGTGAATCTGAAGGGGGATATTCTATCTATGGCCTGTGCCCAAACCAGCACTAGCCAACCTTAGGAATCCACGAGTTCTATATTCTATCTATCTATGACGCGCACCCAAACACATGCTAGCTAACCTCATGTACCAACTCGGTCCTCCACTTCGACACAGCGTTCTGGCAACTGTAGCCACACACGTCGGCAAGCTTGACCTTCCATTTCTGCTTGACCACAAAGTTTGGGGTCTGTGGCTCTTGGCCGAACCGCTCCTGCCATCCAGGGGTTAGGGTCCATATAAAGTTTAGGGCTTGTGCAGGCTCGGGGTCTTTGAGTCTTTGAGTCTTGGCCAAACCGCGCCTGAACAGCCTGACGCACCAGCTGCCTTGCTGGAAAAGCAGACAAGGGATCCTTCTTGCCATGGCCGGTCTTCCACAGCGTCTTCTTCATCGGTTCGAAAAGACATGTCCATACCTTATCTATACTTGGGCGGCGCTGGCGTTTACCTATCCTATGTGGCGTTGGGCTTCAGGGCACGCCCGCGCTAAACCTTATACTTTTAAAATTACACCCTAAACCCTATAAGGCTTACACCCCAAACATTACACCCCACCCCACCCCACCCCAACCAAGCCACAACCTTGAACCTGAGCTTGGTTTCTGCGTCCGCAAGTAAAGTAGTACAAATGCCATATTCTATCTATGCCTTCCTAACCTCAGTTGTGGGTTATCATCCAACTGAAGTTGCAGCAACGTTACCTGGTCCCAATTTGCCACCAACTTGGGATGCACCGACCCGTCCTTCATGCAAGTAGTGATGAACTCTGTGACACGCTGGACAGATGGGTGGTTGCGAGGAAGATGCTTCTGTGGTTTGTCTTGACTCAAGCGCGAGTAGCCATACTTCTGGGAGAACTTGAGGGCCTGCTGATTCAAGGCACGAGGGGTCTGGGCAAGGAGGCAAGTCTGAGGCCAGAATTGCTTTGCCTTGGAAAGCTCATCTGACACAGCCTTCAGCTCTGCCTCGCTTGTGCCTGCCTCAGACAACTTCTGCAACATCTCCAAGTCAGCCTTTTCTTTCTCGCCCCTCCAAGCAGTGACCGCCTCATTGTAGGTTTCCAAAGCCTCCTTCAGCACTTCCTCAACGGCAGTGGTGTTGAGCTCCATGCCGCTCACAACCACCTCCTCGAGGATTTTGTCCACCACTTCGTAGAGGTCATCAGAAACCTTGTAGGTGCCATTGCCCTTCCGACCATCGACATCGAAGCGCTCCCTCAACCAATTGGGAATCTCCGAGAACTTGGCAGCAATCTTGGGGCAAAGCTCGGCGACCATATCCCACGAATACTTCTCGCGGGCTGCTGGCCACTTGCTCGCTGCGGCTGCTCCCTGAAAGTAGCCATCCTTCTTGTGCAAACGGAGCATCTCCTGTCAGGGAAGTTGCAGCTCCACTCCGGAACACATTCCAAGATAGTTGTCAGCCTTTCTGGACAGCTTTGTGGGGACTCATTAACAGCTGATGTACTGAAATCTCCACTCTACTTCCTGAACAACCCATACATAGAATACTGAGAATTTAAAAGCTTATGGCACCATGTTAGCGGGAAGGCGGGGAGTGCTCCGTAGCAGTTTTTCCTAAACAGGGGGATCCAAATGCAAACCCCAATAATCCTGATGAATTTTGGAGCGGGGCAGTTCTTAATAGCGAAACCTTTAAAATCTACACCATAAACCCTACATAAACTTCAACTACATGATAGGGTTCCCTAAACTCCCCTTCAAGAAGGCCGCAAACATAGACTGCCAGATTAGGGAAGTAACCAAATCAAATCCTTTGGTGAATTAATGAATATTCATTACACACACAAGCTTACAAAGGAATTGGGTAACGGCTGCTACGTTGTCCCTGCTTTTTTAAAAATGATTGCTATGCGAGTCCCTGGAAATGCGCGGCGCCTTCTCGGGGTACTTGTGCTCGCCGCTGTCTTTAATTTGCTCGAACTTCTTCAGCAAGTCCAATTTCTCCTTGATCGTCAACCCCTTCTTTTTGCCATCTTTCTTCTTCTCTTCAGGCACTACAGCCTGAGGAGCTTCATCCGGATCTTCGGGCTCTGGCGGCCCATCGCAATCCTCATCATCAGCGGGCGCGCACTGTGCCTGAGCCTGTTCAGCTGCAGGGGCCGAAGGGGCCGAAGGGGCCTGTTCCGACGCCGCTTGGGCCCCTGATGCAGAACTGCCACCCAAAGACGTGGACGTCCCTCCAGATGACAGCTTCGCGCTCGAAAGCTTTCGCCGCTTGGCAGCTCTGGTCAAGCTCGCCTGGCTTGTGTTCTCTGAGCTGGACTTCAAATCTGCTTCGCTGATTCGCTTGCGACACATCTCCAGCAGCGACCCCTCCTCACTGGCCAGGCCAGCGAGATCCCGCCAAGCACAAGCGTTCACCTGGTGCATCGCAATACGCAAGCTCTAAAATTATGAGGTAACCTTTGGTCGTGCAAGTCACCCCCTCATCCTACATGAGTCAGCTAATGAAACAAAATTCCGTGTAGTGCTCATTTGTAAAGACCTGTTGGGCTCATCTCTTCAATCTGAGCAAGATTCTATCTATGGGCTCTAAGGCTTTAGTAGCTTTACTCTTAAACATGAACCCAGCCCTGCGGGCTGTTTTTCATTAAAAACAAACTGGCTGAAAATAAACACCTTGCCCGGTCCTACCCCCTAAAAGCAACCTGACCCAACAACCACAAATTAAATTCTATCTATGGATGTGTTGGAAAGTGCCACCTCCAGAACACAGCCAAGTCACCACAGAAGTAAGTAGCTTAGCAATGAGAACAGTTGTCGAAAATGCGTTGCCGGCAAAATCGCGGGCCAAGGCATCCGGGAGCTGACGGACTGCGTCAGGGTTCTCAAAGCCTGGGCTGGGAGTGTGCACCTACAAATGTCTGAAAACAACGATTTATGTAAAGTCTTCAAAGCAGAAATTGCTGGCACAGGAACTCTCCGGCCACACACCCTGTGCTGCCAACATCTCTTGCCCGGTGACCAGCCTCTCGAGGCCCAGGTGAAATATTGGGTGCGTTGGTCTGCAGCATGTCAATAAGCCAGGCCCGGCGAATTCCGGCCCACGACTCTCGCTCGCACGAGTATCCATCGTCATTTCGGAAGCCTTGAAACCCTTTCGCGTGCAAACACCCTTGATGACCTTCAGGTGTTTCTTGTTGGTGTCACTGGTCAGCTTCGCGCGCGGCAGGTCGGGGTCTAAGAACCCATCCAAAGGGAACCGGGTTGTGCTCTGCATGCGCTGGGCAGACATGCGCATGCGCAGGCTGAACGTTTCTGCGTCTTCCCCAAGACAGGACGAACCCCAAACTCGGTTCCTGCGCTGCGGCAAGAGATAGTCTGCCGTGTCCACCTTGACATACTCGAAAGCATGGCCCAAGCGAGCCAAGTCTTCCGTGGCAATCTCCACCGCCGGCATCTGGGGCTCCCCGTGCACGTCCTTGATGGACTTTGCTGCATCAATGACATTCTCATACAAGCTCACACTGGCTTTGGTGCACTTCAAGGCCTGCTTGTAGCCCAGCTCGTAAGTTGACCCTGGCGAACCTGAAGCATCACTGTAGCAGTTGGCGTACTGTTTCCTGCGGATGTTTTCGCTGGAGATGTCGATGCACGAAACACCAGCCATCAGCAGGAAAACCCTTGGAATTGCCACCATCTGCTTGGTCTTCAAGCACCATGCCTCACCTTTTTCGAAACAAGCCACGTCACTGAACAAGTGCTGAACTTTGTCTTTGTGGGCCTTAAGGATGAACTGCTGCTTGTCCGGGTTGCGCTCCACAGCGAACTTGCCCACCACCCGTACCTGTGTCGAAAACCTGGCGTTGATGGCGTCCCACAAGGCCTCGGCACACATGATGCCTGTCTCCAAGCCTGAGCACGTTGTCCCGACAGCAATTTCTCGTCCACTCAAGCCTTCAGCAATGTCCCTGAGCACATTCATCTGCGCCATGGTAAGGCGATCCACAAAGTAATGCGAAATGCTTACCAAATTCTTCTCCGGAAGTTCACCTTGTAGCCACGTGCTCGCCAAGGGCTGCCTTACAGTAAGAGATTAAAAACAGGATTTAAAGGCGCTAACAGGGGGTCGTAATGACTTCGTGAGAGGGCAGATTCTATGTATGGGGCCCGCCACCGGCTCCAGAGGGCTAAACATCGCAGAGCCCCAAAAGATTCAACACGATCATTTTGGAAACTTTTTATGATGCCCCCAGGGCCATTGTTTTGAAACCATTTCATTACAAAAGCACGGCGGTTTTGGAGTAGGAGTTTAGACTCTGGCTCGCCCCCAGTTGTTTCCCTTCCCTGCGTCCGAAGATGAAGCCTTATTGTGATGACCCCCTAGAACCCTTCCAAACCCCATGAAAAGTGACCTTTCCAAATACTCCCCGATATAACCCCCCCCCCACGCGCCTCACCCTCTCAAACCTTTCAAAATCAGCACACTCATTTTGGAACCTCTACAGCAGACCCCCTAGAGCCCTTTCAAACCCATCAAAATCAACACGGTCATTTTGGAACCATTACAACAGACCCCCCCCCCAAAAGTCCTACAACCTCTCCATGTAACCATAGCAGGGCTTAAATTCTATCTATGGGTCTATACAGGGTTTGTAGGGATTAGGTGGACCCCCCCAAATACCCCCCTATATAACCCCCTGAATAGCCCCTGTAAGGAATTCAGACTATAGCTCATATACTAGTTGGAGCCCATTGTGATCCTAAAAGCACTGTTGCAAGCTGCTGCACGACACACGCCATGCTGACGCATCTCCCCCAAGACCCCTTCAAACTTCAAACCCCTCAAAATCAACAGAGTCATTCATGAACCATTACAGCAGACCCATGTAAAGACGATCAAGCTGCCCTCAACCCTAAACCCCGTTTGGGTTAGGCCACATTAAAATACCAAGGGCGGCTGTATGGGGCCATAATGCCACAGTAGGGGGAATATACTAAGTGGCCATAACGAAGCAGTAAAAGGCCACACTAAGGTTTAAGGAGTACAGTCCCGGCCACGAATCTTCGTGAAGTTCACGCAGAGGAATCTCACGCACTTTCGGCATATTATGCCGCTGCGAGTCCTGGAGCGCGGGGGTACAATTCTCATATGTTGTAGCAGCTGTCGTGATAGTAATAGCTTAAATTCTATCTATGGGGTCTGTGGGCTTATACAGGGCTTCTAGACCAGGCGTGCTTTGGTGCCAATACAGAGTATTAAAGGTGATTCTCCCAAAATCAACACGATTATTCTAAAATCATTACAGCACACATGCCCCAAACTGCGGCCTGGCTGCCCAGGCTGCAGCGTGTCAGAAGGCCCAATAAATCCTTTCCCTTTCTTTTTATGCTATATAAACCGTAAGCCCTACACTACGGGAAAGGGGGTTCACTTGTGACTT